CCCGCCCCCCCTTTTTTTTTTTTTTTTTTAATTAAGGAATTAAATTTCTACTTCAGAAATCAAATTCTGGCTGAGGGAAGAGTTATCTTTTATATGAACACAAACTCAAAGATTGTGGACAAAGTAATATTAACTGGAGACACAGATATTCCAAGCAGCCATGTTAAATGTATAAATCAGTATTAAGGTAAATCCATTAAAAAAAAAAAAAGGGGGGGGGGGAAAGCTAACACTTTTTATTTCCCTCAATGGTAAATGAAACCTAAAGCTGGCAACAGAATGTGAAAGGCTCCTTAGGAAGAGGAAGGGTTATAGCATGGAAGAACTGAATCAACTTTTATGAAAATGGTTTCTGCAGGAACTAGATGAGGACTCTTTTCATAGCTCCTTACTGAAGGAAGGAAAAACCCATGATAATTTGGGGCTTTGATTGTATATATTAATGGTCCAAAATAAAATTCTGAATCATGATAAAATCTATACCTTTATTTCCTGGAAAGATAACTTATTTCAGATTTCCTTCAGGCAGGCATGAATTTTTAATGCACCCTAATTTCTCAGGCATTTTCCTACAGTATTTATTATTGTATATTCAGTATGTTACTGTAAGTAAAAATATGTCTTTAAAACTGACAAAGTTAAACATGTCTTTCTTGCTGCACCAGAATGTTCTTCAAACCAAAAGTTTAGCTGGAAATTGTGCAAATCAGTATCTAAACTAATCTTTTTAAACTGTAGACCCTCAAAGATAATTTGAGCATAGAAGAAAGGAAATCACAATTTGCTGAGTAGTCTTAGGCTGTATATAATCAGAAACATTAAAAGGGACTGACATTTCCTTGTTTTTATGGCCCGATTCTGGTAATTATACTATTTTAATGTGATTTATAATATAAGCAAGAACATAGTATTTTTACTTTGAGAAGGCAACATTGTAGGAACTAAAATGGAAAACCTGCTGTTAAAGCATTCAGGGAGGACCAGACTATAAACACTTGAGCCAAACAGCACAGATTACATGCTGTATGTTCAAACCACTCTAAGTAAAACTAAACCAACTGTATATTTAAGGACAGATAAAGGAATGGGAAGAAAAAAAAAAAAACAAAACAAAAAACCCCAAAAACCCACAATAGCAGATAATAGGTGATTATTGTGTTATGTTTGAAAAAGCTTTGTGAAAACTCAAAAAAAAAAAAGGACACATACAAAGAACCTCTCTTACAGTGATTATAATTATCTAGATATCAAAATCCCTCCTATTTAAAGTGTTAACTGTGGTAGCGAGAAATCTGCCAGTACCCAAATTAGTCTGGCATTTTCATG